CATGTATGATCGTATAAAATCGATAGAACAATGCCCTGTCCTTACTGAGATGGTGTATACACTTCACCGTTGATATTTTGACTGCAATGAATTGACCTTGAACTTTTATAATCAGCAATTAAATTAATAGTTACAGTTACATGTACTGACCTTAGTTAGTTTCTTTGAATTGAAAATCACCACAGAAAAGATTTACAAATTAGATTTTACGTGCCAAGGACAAGGAAAAGTAACGTAGTACAGTAGCTTGAAAATTTCAGAAAATGTAAAACATGTAGGTAATGGATCAAAGCTGTTTTGTCAATAAGTATCAGAAAGTTATTTTTACTTGAACATCTAATGAGATGATCACAGTGTTATAACAAGAATGTCGAACGACACATATACCCCCCTTTCTAGCAATTGACTCACATAATTGGTAATTTTATTACAGAAACTTGCCAAAAATGGGTACATGGAAAGTGTTCAATTATGGAAAAATCAACAGAAACCATTTTGACATTAAAGGCCCATGTGACATTGACCTTTGACCTAATGACCCCTAAATCGTTAGAGGTCATCTACTACTTATGACCAATAACTAGGTGAAATATGAAGACTTTGTGATGAATACTTTTCCAGATAATCAGCGGAAACCCTTTTGACATTTAAGGCCCCTGTGACCTTGACCTTCGACCTAGTGACCCCAAAAAAAATATGTGTCATCTACTAGTTATGACCAATCACTATGTGAAATATGAAGACTTTGTGATAAATATACTTTTCAAGATAATCAGAGGAAACCATTTTGACATTTTAAGGTCCCTGTGACCTTGACCTTTGATCTAGTGACCCCAAAATCAATAGGGGTCATCTACTAGTGATGACCAATCACTATGTGAAATATGAAGACTTTCTGATACATACTTTTCAAGATAAACCTAATACTGAATGAAAAGCGCGCCATATAATAATACAACGTCACGTCATTTACGAAGTCACGTCATTAAGTTGGTACCCAGTTCTGTGCACTCTGGTATTTCACTGAAACAAGGTAAGGGGCTTAAATTAAAAACAGTGAAATTATCAAAGTGGTAATTTCACTGTTTCAAACAGTGAAATTACCAGTTTTTATATCACTATTATATTTCTATAAACCACCAAAAAGCATGTAATAAACGTATAAAATTTTCCTTTTTTAGTCTTAAGAGACTGTTTTGTTAAGTGACCATTTCTAGAAGGTTTAACATTATAGAGGCATAATTTATAGGTCCTCAGTCAAGTCATTTTCCTATTTAAAGAAAAAGTTTATAAACATGATACTAAGGCATGGCTCTATTTGACCCATGTTAATGATTTTCATAACTTAGGCAATGCTTCACACTAAATATGTTTCACTTTAGCCATGTAGCCTAAGGATAGGCCATTGATTTCAAAGGGGCATGATTAATTTTACTTTTAGAGAGGACTATAAGGGGATCACTTCTGTAAAGGTTGTTCAAAATCTATTTTGTTGTTTTGGCCAATATGTTGTTAAAAGGAATTGTAGATAGTCAAGCTCAGTTACAGATCAAAGTTATCTTTAAAGACGTTTTAGGACTTTTATACATATATAGGCAAAATTATAACTGTACAATAGAATTCCTTAAAACTTGGCATGTTCTTAGGCTATGATTAAGCTAAACTGGAACCATCACTGAAGATGAGTAAAACCCCCATCAGCAACTTTGACTTTTTGAAAATTAAGTGGTCTGAAAAAAATATTTGAACTCAACCAATAGTAAAGTGTACAAAGAATTATTTCAATTAATTGAAATCACAACCGGTGTTTTTCAAATAAGCTTGCTTTACATCAAGTTTGATTCCAATATCTCATTCCTAACTCTAGTTATTGTCCGGAAACCATTTTTCTATTTTTAGTAACGATGACCTTGACCTCGACCCCAGGGGGTCGAAATGCATTACCAACCGAGATCTTCATATAAGATGCTATACACCAAAGTTGGTTAAAATATTCCATTCACAACTCTAGTTTATGTCCGGAAACCATTTTTCTATTTTTAGTCATGGTGATCTTGACCCCAGGGATCCAAATGCAATACCAGCCTGGGTGACCGGTCTGCATATAAGCTTGCTATACACCAAGTTTGATTACAATACCTTATTCCAAACTCTAGTTATCGTCCATAAACCATGATGTGGACCGACCGACAGACGGACAGACCGACCGACAAGCGGACTGCTATATACCCCCTTCTTTTGTGGGGGTAATAAAAATGGGGCCACCATCCTTGTTATTGAGTTATCTGCTACAAAATTAGACTTGTTTGCTTATATAAAGAGCACAATACCTACTTTTTGCTTAATTTATATAGTTTACTTCTGTTTAAGTCAATGTACAAAATTTCAATAAAGAGTAGCTTGACTTTTTTCCACTCTTTGTGAGATTTTTCTTAAAACAATAACCTATTTTTTTCATTAAAATTGAAAAAATAATTATGACAGAAACAAGAGCTGTCACCAAAGTGACGAATGCCTCAAAAAGGTTTCTTAAGCATGTAGGTATTATGAAAAGAAAAGAGAATGAAAGTAACTAATTGCTGAATATTGTTCTTTGCATTATTGTACCTGTAATCTCTAATTGTAATAGCATGATGCTTCAAAATAGTGTGCCCTTGACTTTTGAAGAAGGGACCAAGTTCCTGGACAAAACAAAATGTTGTTTTTGAGATAAATATCTGTGCCAAATTATTTCAAAATTCCTCAATGCATGATAAAGTTACAGTCTGGACATGATTGTTGTGTAAGTGGGGACACACAGACAGACGGACATGAGCCTTAGCCGCGACACATTGTCTTGATGTGGTAGACATTTGTGCCAAGTTATTTTAAAATCCTTTTATGCAAGACAAAGTTACAGTCCGGACATAAATGTGTATCCTCAAACTCTTCTCAATTACAAGTACCTTCAAACTATAAGTGTGACCTTTGACCTTGAAGGTAGTGGCATGGGTCTTTGTTGCACATATCCTCAAATGCATGACAAAGTTACAGCCCGGACATGAATGTGTGTACCTATAAACTCTAATTGTGATAAAGTGTACTTCAAAATGGTAGTGTGACCTTGACCTTTGAGGTAGGGACGTGGTTTCTTAGACGCAACACATCGTCTTGATGTGGTAGACATTTTGCCAAGTTATTTTAAAATCCCTCAATGTATGACAATGTTACAGTCCGGACACGAATGAAGTGGGGACGCACAGACGGACGGGACGTAGTTGTATTGGAATACATGTACTGGTATATCAACCTGAAACAAACAAAAGGAAAACATTTTTTACCTGTTTTTGCTCTGTTATAACTGCCTCAAGTTCAGTAAACTTTCTTTTCTGTTCTTTCCCAGCCTCAAGTTGTCCCTCTTTTTCTTTTGCCAACTGTCTTTCAAGTTCAATAACTTTATTTTTAAGCTCCTCATATTCATCTTTAGTTGCAGCATTTTCGGTAAATTCCCGCATTTTTGTCATTTCATCTTTGATTTGTTTCAAAATTTCTTCAGAGCATTCAGTAGTGATAACAAAGTCTTTTTGCTTTAGCTGGTGGATAAAAAAAAAAGTTCGATTTTCTTTCAGAGATAAAATGTAGCTATATCATATAGCAACATTTTTATTTCAAAATTACCACAAATGTTTTTTATTTTAATTCTCATACTTTTTCTGAGGGCTTCAAAAATCTGCTTTTAAGGCAGGATGTGTGGTATAGTCATATTTGATTTGCAAGAATTCTCTATTTTCTTCACATTTGTTTTTTCTTACCTGTTACTAACAAGCTTAGATCCGTATTTTTGTATTGTAGGTATTTCATTTGATTTCATCAATATAAGTTAAACTTAAGGCAGTTGTTACTTAAATTTGACTAAAATGAAGTAACCACTCAAACCCCAGTCACATAGAGCTTACGATTACTTGCGACCACCGGCGACTTGTAAAAACTGACGATCATCAGCGATTGTCAGCGACCAAAACCATTTTTGCACAGATAAATTTACTTTTGTGAGTATCGTAAGACAAGTCATCATTGACAATCGCACGACAGGTCATTAAGTAAACGTACGATGGTCTATTGCCTGGGAGTACTTACGACTACCCGTGACATAACATGCGATTACCTACAACTTGTCGTACGACCAATCACACAATTACTAAAGACTTCTTAAGATTATCAGTGACTAGTTGGCAATTTTGTAAAGACCTGTCGTAAGATTGTCGCACTTACCGAACGACCATCGTGCGACAGCCTTAAAGACCTTATAAGATCACTAGCGACCTGTTTGATCGCAAGGAGGTTTTTGTGCAAGCTCAAAAAACCTCTCTTACGAACTGAAATTGGTCGTGGGACCTTAAATAAGGTAACCTGCGACTGTCAAAGATCACCGATGACCGTCGTAAGACGTTTTAAAGATTGTCCGCGACCAGAGGTCACTGGTGATCGTGAAAACTGGTCTTCACTGGTCGTAAGCTCTAATGTGACTGGGGCTTTAAGAGCACTTTTTTGTAAATTTAGTAAAATGTGCTTAATTCAAGTTATGATAATTTAACTCTTTAAAGATTTCAAACTTATAATTTATTATGTATTGTCCAACAACATTGACCTGGCACTCTTGCATTTGACCCCGTAGTCGGTAAATTCCGTAAACGTTATTATCTACTTGTAAATCGATATAAATGTATATAACCAGTTGTAAAATGGTCTAAATTATAAATCCCTCTTAGCACAGTACAGTCGTTAAGGGCTTTCACATCAAGAATATTGACGTACACTCGTAGGTTCGAATCCTGGTTAAGCTACTTTTATATTTTTTTCTTTTCTTATTTTAAAAATTGCTATTTCTCTCTTAACTCGTGCAAAACGTTGGATTTTATCTGTGTTCTAACTGTGTAGTGTAGTATTTTTAAGTTGTATTATGAACGCACTGTTCTTTTTATTAAGTAAAGATAATGTAATGAAATAAAAAATAAAATTGTATAAAAAATACTACTTAAAAGATATCTTAAAAACCAGATGTAGTAAAACGATTTCAAATTAATTCTTGCAAGTAAATCTCAAAATAATTTTAAAAAAAATGCATGTCCTCATAACGTGGTGTTGGTAAGGTATCGAACCAGGGAACTTCAGATCAGTAGTCAGGCATCTATACCAATACACCACAACTCATTGACGTGTGAAGTTAACAAAATATCGATATATTTGTTAGATACCACTGTTTATCACCTGACCTTTACGGAAATTAATGAAGTGCCAGGTCAATATTGTTGGACAATACACTTACATCTTGGAGTTTCCCGACAGCTTGTTGTGCATCTTGTTGATGTATAAGTTCTTTACCATCTTGTAGAACAGCTATCATGTCATCAATATAACAATTAGCTTTGCTCTCCTCTAACTCCATATTGCTCGAGTGAAAAATTTCGTTTCGGTACTGCCGTACCTAATATAAAGTATACAAATAATACAACATTTACATAAATACAGTGTTCAGCAATGAGACTAAACACAATTCTTAAGTTGAGAATTAAAACTGTAATAAAGGAGTTAATTTAAAGTACTTACCATAATAATCATTATTATTATTGTGTTTAAACTGCAGATTATATAAAAGCAAAGGGAGTGGAAATGTGTTTTGATAAATCTTATAATTACTTTATTGAAGTAACAGTATTTACCGTAATAATTCTATTTAGCGCCCATCCTCTAATAGACGCCCACCCCAAAAAACGGCCACTTTTCAGCCCAAAGTTGAAAAATTAACTGCCCCTTTTAAACGCCCATCCCCCGATTTGAGTACAATTGAGCTTACCTTTACAATTCAAGTTTCCTTATTTCCGTTTTCACGTAGCAACGAACTTCCCTTTTCTTGTCTTTTTTTCCGTAAAGTTTATAATTATGTACACGGTATTTAAATGCCACCGCCTTTTACAAAAGTTCCTTTTTTTATGACGAACGCGGTTCTCCAAGTATTTCGGCACTGATTTCTACAATAAGTCCATCTTTGAATAATTTTGTAAGAGGCTGACATAATCCCTCCGGTATATGTCCAACAAGAGATCCATTATTTTTTACGAATAATTGCGCTATCACTATGCTCATTTTCTGTTCCAAATTACACTGAAGTATAGTTCCCGACTGGACATGTATATTTGTAAACGTGATATCCCTTAATAACAGATTTTATAGACACAAGCATAGGTGTTGCCATAATTCAATGTGTTTTGTGTATAAGATATATATACATGTATAAAAAATTACCATTCGAGATGCCAAAACTCACGCGCCTATTTCATTACGTCAGCAAGGTCACGTGCGTGGTTCAATGTATTGGGGCCCAACATGGGAGATTAGTTCTGATTAAAATTATTTTGAACAATAGACGATTGTCTTTTTATATCAAAATCCCGCATCAAAATCCCTTAAAGAACAATATATGCTTGTGTCAGTAAAATCCGTCAGAACTATTCTTACTTTTTTTTAAAAATTATATGGCGGGTAAAAAAATGCATAATGATCGGACTCGAAATATTCCATTGACTTTTTGAAATGTATAGAACATCCAGATTACAGAGTTAATGGTAACCTTACATAAATATTTCGTTGGGAAAAATCATAATATTTTTGCAGTAAAAAATGCGTGAGGCTCATTTTTTATTCCCGTGCTCGGATACCGGACTCTACATGCACGGTATTTAAAGTGCGGAAAAGAACAGACTTAAGCCGGTACGTTACGATACCGAAATCGACTTTAGCGTTGTCTGCAATTATAAATCAACATCCGCTCTATTCTTCGGATTCGATTTCTTCTTATAGTTATGAGGGGCGAGTTGATTTATAAAGCCTTGCTTAGAAAATTAGTTTGTCTAACACTCTTATGAAGATGCGTCTCCAATTAACGCCCATCCCCAACTTTCGAAAAAGTCTATGATTCTAATAAAAGCCCGGGCGCTAAATAGAATTATTACGGTACTTGTCGCATTTGCTTATAAAGCACAAATAATTACTTCTGTTCATTTTACAGTAAAGCTTAAAATACAAAATATTTTTTGTTTCCCACCCATAAAAATTACAGCTAGCCAAAAAATTGTATTGCAAACAAAAAATATTTGTGAATACAATTTATGCATAAACAATTTTTGAATCATTATTCATAATGTGGCAAACTGTTTCTCTGACAAAATAACTGCATTAACCTCATAGTCACCTTAGTGCAGTAATGGGTAAACTCCTATAAAGTTATATAATAGAGTTTATAACCAACAAAGAAGTTTGTAAAACATGTTTGCCCCCTATCGGCAGCCAATTAGTCATGTGAGCAGGTTATTATGCATGACTTCTGACCCAGAGTGAACAAACAATTAATAAGGGTTATCTAGTATCTACTGTTTATGACTAGTCAGAAGGTAACAAGGTAATAATAATCATTGTGAACCCCATAGGTTGTGTGCAGCAATTTAAGTTATTACAAATCTTAACAAATAATATATGCATAAATTTTGTGAATCATGCAGGCCTCATTAATGACAGCCAAGTTGTTACATAAGACCTTCAAATGTGTATACCAAAAGCATTTTTAGTTTAATATAAAAAATATCAACTTGAGTTGTTGAGTTATTGGTCAGAAAACCGTCATAAAGTACAAGGTCAAAATGACATTGACCCCTTGATCCCAAAATCAATAGAGGTCACCTACTGGTCATGACCAAATCACCATACCAAGTTTGAAGTTCCTAGGCCTAAGCGTTCTTTAGTTATTGATCGGAAACCGTTTTTACCTACAAAGTCAATGTGATCTTGACCTTTGACCCCAAAATCAATAGGGGTCATCTGCTGGTCATGACCAATCATCATACCAAGTTTGAAGTTTCTAGGCTTAAGTGTTCTTAAGTTATTAATTGGAAACCGTTTTCACCTACAAGGTCAATGTGACCTTGACCTTTGACCCCAAAATCAAAAGGGGTCATTTGCTGAACATGACCAATCACCATACCAAGTTTGAAGTTCCTAGGCCTAAGCGTTCTTTAGTTATTGATCGGAAACCGTTTTACCTACAAGGTCAATGTGACCTTTTACCCCTTGACCCCAAAATCAATAGGGGTCATCTGCTGGTCATGACCAATCACCATACCAATTTTGAAGTTCCTAGGCCTATGCTTCTTTAGTTATTAATCGGAAACCGTTTTTACCTACAAGGTCAATGTGACCTGTACCTTTGACCCCTGGACCCAAAAATCAATAGGGGTCATCTGCTGGTCATGACCAATCACCATACCAAGTTTGAAGTTCCTAGGCTTAAGCGTTCTTTAGTTTTTGATCAGAAACCGTTTTAACCTACAAGGTCAAATTGACCTTGACCTTTGACCCCTTGACCCCAAAATCAATTGGGGTCATCTGCTGGTCATGACCAATCACCAAACCAAGTTTGAAGTTCCTAGGCTTAAGCGTGCTTTAGTTATTGATCGGAAACCGTTTTTACCTACAAGGTCAATGTGACCTTAACCTTTGACCCCTTGACCTCAAAATCAACAGAGGTCATCTACTGGTCATGACCAATCACCATACCAAGTGTGAAGTTCCTAGGCCTAAGGGTTCTTTAGTTATCACTCGGAAACCATTTGGTCTACAAACTGACGGACTGACAAATGCAAAGCAATATACCCCCTCTTCTATGAAGTGGGGGCATAATAACTACACTAAGGTAACAATTATCTCTTTTACTTTTATACGCAATTAACAGACAACATTTTAATCTTACAGTAAAGCCTAATATTCTACAAAATTTAAAATAAACATAATAATTATAGTAAACAAATCTAGTTACCTTTGAAAAAAGATTGTTTGGTCCTGTAACATTGCATCCAATATGACTACGAAAGTACTTGTTATTTATGATAACATGAAGCAACCCAGTGCAATCAGTGTCGACTGCTGATGTCTTGTCCTTGTACCCCGGAGCATTTATAAAACATTTGCAAACGTTCCATGGGTCTGTCGACCACTGTTGGGCATCACTATTTTTCCAAAAAGGTACTGGTGGCATTGATGCATGATACTGTATAATGCTGTCATAGATGGCACCACATACATTGTTTGGACAGGGTCTCTTATTATTAGGAAAACAACAGTTACATTTATCTTGATTGAGGGGACATATCCCTTTTGAGACTCGGACATGATCTGGCTGGAGAGTTGTTATCTGACAGGCGCCACATGGTACGTTTGGTTGAGAAGTCTTTGTTTGTTGTATTTTGTTTATAATATCGTTGTGCTGCTGTCTTCCAATGTAATCACAAAATGGCGCAAGTCCCTCTTTAAGATAACCCAAGCCTAGGCCAGCCTTAACCCACTGCCGGTATTTGTTATTCTTTAAATGTATCTCATGTGCCATCTTGATTTCTAAAACAAACAAAAAATATTTTTAGCTACAATTTGTAAGAATCCAAGGAAACCCATTATTAACTATGACTGATCACAAACACTTGTATGCCCTGAAAGCTGGCCCCAGTTAAGGGACCATAAACTTTGACTTACAATGAAGGCATTGCTACTATTACTAGAGGGCCATATAGCCCCAGATTGCTCATCTACAGTACAGATAACATGAATATGCAAACACCTCGGAGGATCAAGGAATCCACTCGCAACTCCGCTTGAGTATTTGTCCATAAAACCGAAAGACTCCTCGTGAGAAACGTGTGATGAGAGTGAAACAGCACGTGGTGACTCAGAGAGAGTATTACCGCGTAACACCATGTCAGTGTCTGGTGTAAATAAATGAGAGTGCAATCTCATTTTACATTTCATTTTAGATTAATCATTACGATTCGAAAATAAAGATGATTTTTACTGTTGTTGTTTCCAATTTACCGTGAAACAGTTGAAAGGTACATTTGATTAGAAAAAACACTACCGTAAGCGTCATCAAGTTGTTTTTTTTATCCAGATTAATTCAGTCAGTAGCAATAACCACAGGAACCTGAAATTCTATCAAAAACAAAAAACGATTTAAAAACAAAAAAAAAAAAAAACATATAATAACGGCCCAACTTTTTTGTATAAGAATAATTCAGATTATATAAACTTTGTTAATCTTTAAATGTCTCTAGTCATATTGGAATAGATAGAGATTTAAGATATTGCTTTCATTGCCTAAAGACAAACATTTATGTTATTGAGGATGAATATCATTTTTTCTTTGAATGTTCACTATATAACAATATCAGAGCTGTCTATTTTAAAGATACATGGTTACATCATCATTCCCACCATTTATTTTATTCTCTCATGTCATCAACAATAATAAATGAAGTAATATCTATTGCTAAATATATATATTATGCCATGAATGTAAGAAAGGAAGAGCTAAATACTGTATAATTATTTACAAATTCAATTCATTACATTTAGTTACAAATGTATTTTCAATTTATCACTCTACTGTTTGATTGTATTTTTGTACTTTGTATTTTGGGCCTGAGGCCTATATTACTAGAAATAAACTGAAACTGAGTCCTATTAAATCACTGCAACAGTTCCTAAAAAAAAAAAATTTGTCACTGTGTGACATGGAAATTGCGGGAAATCCTCGGTTATTCTTTCCTTTTGATATTAATGAATCAAGTTGTCTACTTTCGTTTTCATTTGTGATACTTTAAATCAACGAAGAATTTTTGACAACATTTTTATTTTGAATGAATAATAACATGTACATGCGTTCAAGGATTTTAGTTTAGAGGTAGAACATTATTTAGGAAATTTATATAGGGTTAACTTGGAGTGTCCGATCCTTGTCATATAAATCTGTGTCATTATTAACAACAAATCTACATGAAAATATAGAAACAAATATTTAGAGAAATCTTATAAATACATTTTGTAATTTGTTTTTATTCATATTTGCAGCTCAAAAACATTTAGATGCCATTCTCAGATCTATTAATTAATAAACTGTAGAAATATTATAAGTGTTGTTAATTGTGTTTATATTATAGTTAAAGGATGTATAGCCAATTAGGCATCATGATAATGCGGAGGTGAAATAGGGCGGACCGTGAGACAGTACGGACCGTACCAGGGCGGGGCAGAACATATTTTGGGACAGGACGGACAGTGACTCAATACGCAGCGGACCATGTATATTTTCGAATTATATATTGCTATTTAATTTTCTATATATATTTTGGCATCATTATTATCCTAAACATGTCGTAATTATAAGCATTTTCATATTGAACAGATTTGAATTTTAAAATTTTAACATCGATCTAAAACTTGTTAAATCTTCATATGATATTAATGTTTTAATCATGTGCACACAACATGAGGTGGATTGTGGATTAATCAACTTTATATTCATTATTATAGATATTGACCCATACAATTATAAGTATAAAATAGGTTGTGTAAGCTAATGGGAATTGTTTGAGAAAATCTCATATATAAAACATATTTTCTTTATGCGCTAATGTTTATATAAACTTGAAACAATTACCTTCATTAATTGTACTATTTTTATATATACCATTCATAACATTAAATTTCGCTGTATAGAGGAAAATAGATTATTTATATTACTTAATAACAATATGAAAACGAAGAAATAATAATTAATTAATATACAATGTATACATGTATATTACATGTAATTCACTAAACAGACATCATCTTAATTTAACACATTCTAATATAAACTAACTTGTCGAAGAATCAAAATTTTACGTTATTGTGTTGTATTGTGTTTCACAATATCAGATGTGAAAAACAAGTATTTTCTGTATCATATTATAAGGAACCCCAAATATGAGTTATACTTTTATATTACATAATGCATATTTTTGTACATTTTTGTATCTATAGTTTACTTGTTTGTATTTTCAAATTTAAACCTTAAAATTACATGTATTTTTACAGTAATAACTTCTTCAAACTTTGGGATAGAAACCATCATTCTTAACATGTCAAACATACTTAAGATATTGTTTAATCAACACATTTTGCTTAAGCCTAGGAAGCACTTTAGGTCTTTTTAGCACTTTTCTTTGTTTAACAGATTGACTGTTTTTTTTATAGAGTTTAACAGATGGACTGTTTTTTATAGAGTAAATACAAACAAATACAGAATAATAGCTGAGTAAAATATCACAGCTTTGTTTCCTTCTTAGTTTTTGACATTTATAACTTCAAAGTGAAAACTCATTAATAAATTAATTCTACTTTTCAAACAATTCCAAAACATACCTATAAAAGAGACAGTTAAAGTTAGACAGACATAATTTCTTGGACTGTCAATAAAGGATATATTTTGACTTATACTGTCTATGTTATTTCTACAGGTATGTTAAACTTTATTTTATATTTTAACTCATGTTAAACTTTATTTCATATTTTAACTCTTTTTCTAAAATCTATAGGACATGAAATTTTGTAGACTTACTTTAGTCTCTGACTTGTTAAAATATGAAATTATTCTCGTATCGGATATAGCTTGAATGAGTGTTTATGTATGGTTTCTGTATCTTAAGTTAAATATGGAGTGAAACCTTAAATATTTTCTTTTAACGGTGCACGTGTATTTCGTGGGTTAGTGGGGTATATATATAGTGTTTTCGCGGTTTTTCTTCACTCGACGCTTGCATTTGGTGGTACATAAATAACCTGTTTAAATACGTAATTATGAGCGATGAAGAAAATCGGTATTCTCAGCCACGTGGAGAATCGTCACAAAGAACAGAAATTGTTGACGAACTGAAGAATTATTTTGATTCAAAATTCAACGACTTCAAGAGGAGCGTTCAGACTGATACAGAGTGGATTGCAGAAGCTACAAGAAAAAAGGTTAGAAAAGATTCATCTGTTACTTTAAAGGGTTTATCTAACAATAAACAGTATCAATTCAATTGTGAACTCGATGATATGCTCGACAGTATTGATAAGGCTATTTCGCTAAGAAATGCAGGCAAAGCTCATGAGTATATTTCTGAAGCCAAACATCTTATTAAACGTAGAAATAAACTGATCAGAATTGCTGACAATTCTCCTTCCGGTTGGGCCACCATTCAAGAGTATGACAAATTAGATGTGGCTAGCGATTCTGATGACGATAAAAAAATTCGTAAAGCTGAAGACCGGGCCAAAGCTCGTATCGAAAAGGCAAAATTGTCTACTAATTCTAACCAAAGCTCTCAGTTTAATTTTCGTAGCTTTCGCCGAACACCAGAATCAAGATTTGCCATGGCTGGCGGATCCTCTTACCAACAACAACTTCCCTCAACAGTCGTTTGCTTCAAGTGTGGACAGTTGGGACACACCGCATCTGGATGTACACAGGTCAGAACCGGTCCATATTCAAGACCCATGGGTACCTAAACAGAGTCAAGAGCACCCGAATGTGACAAGCAGGAAGTCAAGATTAATAAACAATGAATTACAAGACTCTTCTTTTGAATATGATAAGTATTGGTTTTTTGATGATTTTCACTCTGATTTTTCACATTTTTGTCATCAGGAGATATTTTGTGAATATACAGAAAGTAATATAAAAATTTCTGATTATTCAGTTAAAGGTCGATTAAAACATGCTTTAGTATTTTGGGAAACTTCGATACAACCTAACAATGATATTCTTTCTTGCATAAAGAGCGGCTATGTTATTCCATTTTCATCTCAGCCACCAAGTTTTTTCATGAGAAACAATAAGTCGGCTTTAGAGAATAGTGATTTTGTAGACAAAGCAATTGAAGATTTGTTACAAAAAACAATGTGTTATTGAGGTGCCTTTTTTACCTCATAATATCAACCCGTTGTCTGTCGCTACGAATTCTTCAGGGAAAAAACGTTTGATACTTGATTTAAGTATTTTGAATACCTATGTTAAGAAAGATCGTATTAAATTTGAAGATTACAAGGTTGCCAAGGAATTACTTTTTCCTAGTGGTTTTATGTATAAATTTGACCTTTCAAGTGGTTATCATCATATTTCAATCAAACCAATACATCATTCTTACCTTGGTTTTTCATGGTTTTTTCATGGAAAATGTCGTTACTTTGTTTTCTCCGTATTGCCTTTCGGTTTGTCGTCCGCTCCATTCATCTTTACTAAATTGTTGAGACCCTTAGTTAAGTTTTGGCGCTTAAAAGGGTTAAGAATTGTTCTGTTTCTGGATGACGGGTGGGGTATAAACAAGTCGTTTGAACATGCATTGTGTGATGCTAATTTTGTGAGTTCTACATTACTTAAAGCTGGATTTTTTAATTAACAAGGAGAAATCAGTTTTGTCCCTGTTCAAAGATTAGAGTGGTTAGGCTTCATTTGGGACCTTCAACATGGACTTTTGAAAATACCCGATCGCTGTATTGAAAACACTTTATCTTGTATTAGGACTATGAAGAGTTCTTTTCCGAGGGTTACTGCTAGGAAGTTGGCACAAACTGTCTGGTAAAATAGTTTCTATGATGCCTGTTCTAGGAAACGTGGCTTTATTACAAACGAAATCTTTTTATCAGTTAATAGAAAGAAGGGTTTCCTGGGATAGCGTAATGAATATTTCAGAATGTTATTTAACTGTTCAGTTTTGGGAAAGTCAATTGTCTAAGCCATTCAGCAAGAAGCTGTTCAAGGATTTTTTACCTTCAGTTATTGCATACTCTGATGCTTCTAATGTTGCGGGAGCAGCATTTTTAGTAGAATGTGACAAAGTTATAGCTCATCGAGCGTGGACAGAGTTTGAGCAAAATCAGAGTTCTACTTACAGGGAATTATTAGCCATTCATTATGGTCTCAATAGTTTTGTTAGTAAACTGGCAGGGAAACAAGTTATTTGGTACACTGACAGTAAAAATTGTGTCAGTATTTTAGAAAAGGGCAGTTTAAAATTAACTTTGGCAAGAGTTATCTTTACATATATTTCGGCTGTGTGCTAAATATAGTATTTCTTTGGATATTAACTGGATACAGAGGGATAATAATAAAGAGGCAGACATGTACA